AACCCTTTATTGGAATGTATACTCAACCCCATTAAACTTATGAGTTATGACTAGTATGAAAAATTCGACGCACTTATAAGAACCAAGGATTTGAAACAATTACGTCCAAACATCAATTATCAAAATAGTACACTGACCTTAAGCAATCTGGAAATACCATTTTATCTTTATAATACCAATCGAAGTACAGCAGAAAAATGGTAAAGTACATTTACCAGCCCATACCATTGGCAGGTATTTTCAGAAATTCCAGAATTAAATACTCCTCCCACTCTTGTGGAAGTACAAAACTTATTCGCTAGCATTAAAAATACATCCAAAGAATCATTTATATTTGAACACCCTATAAACGTTACCCATACGAATGAATCAGAAAACTTCATTACACTTTCAAAAACAATACATTAACATCGAAAGTTTTTTAAAATTATTTATTCAAATAAAGGATGATGAACCTGTTTATGAAATTTTGAGACAATCTACTACTGTTGTATCACAAAATGGAAAACCTACTGCTTTTTATTCATTCACACTTAATAAGGCTGAGAGAAATTACGCAGCTATAGAGAAAGAAGTACTAGATGGGAGTCGTTTTATTATGGAAAACCACCAGCCTTTAAAATAGTTAACGACAGCAAAAAAATGCTTAAGATTTGTGCGATGAAAAATTCGACTTTTTGAGTATTATTTTGAAATCCATTACAAAAAAAGACAAAGAAGGTAATGTAGAAAACGCTTTGGACAGACTTGAAATAAATACTTGTGAATTGAACATTCAAGAAACAACCGCCATTGATAAAAGTGCCTTATCTGTAATATCGAATGTATATGAAGTACTTAATAAAGCTGATGGAATAACAGAATATTAAAAAGAACAGGTAAGTCAAAAAGAGGAATCAATGTAACACATAGCAGAAGAAAGCAATATGTTTGCATCTGAAATAATTTACGTCGATATTATGTATTCTAACAAACAAAATTTTCTTACAATTTTGCATCTTTTTCATTTTCTTAACTGTTCGATGATTAACATGACCCAGTCTCTTATACCATATTTTAACATCACTTTCAATAATGTTTACATCTGCCTTTATTCAAGGTTGAGTAAACATACCTACATATTATCTTGTTTTATTCTTATTTTTTTATTATTTTATACTGCAACTGTATTTTGACTCAAAATTATCACACTTTGTTTCTTGAACCATAGTTCAAAATTCTTCATATCACATTCATCAACAGAAAATAAATTTTTCTTTAATGATGGCACTTATAACACCTCTTCAATGCGACCAACTTCTCAGATGTTACTGACTAACCTTTTCATCAATGCAATGCCTACACCTTTAAATTCTACACTTCCATCAACAAGATGAATTGCTTTCTCTTGGACCAGTAGACGATGCAATTCAGCACGATGTCCCACAGTATCTTTTATCCTGACTATTTCAATTTGAGATGGTAAACTGTTTTTCTTCTGGACAGATTTGTTTTACTTCTTTAACACCTGCGAAAATGCACATATTCTTGAGCTGTTACATTGTTTTCTTTCACGTTTTGTATTTATTTTTAATTGGAAAATTTGGTTTAATCCTGGCCCTTTTTATTTATACCTACAAGACAGTATAATCTCCAAACTTGCCTTGCTTTTCTTGTTCTTCTTAAATGTATCATGATTAACATTCTTCTTGTTCTAACATCGTTACTACCAGAGCATTGTTTGCATTTTCACTTTGAGTTAGTCAACTCTCTTCCTTTAATAATCTTTCTTTTAAGTATTGACTTTTTGTTTCTCCATTGGAACAGTATCGGAAGCAAAAACCAGATTAACAAACTTATTTTGACGACTTCTGAGAATTTTAGTCATTAATGGCGCAGCCGGCATATTTTCGCCGACATTCTTCAACTAAACCACCATGTTCTGGAGTCTAGTTACATGTTGATTTCCTGAATCATTTGGATTCTTTCCAGTCATGGAATTTTTGGAGTAAAACTATTTTATTTGACTCATTCATCGCTATGAGCTTGTCCCACACCAGCTTTGACGAAATGCACGTTATTAAACATTCCAGTTTCTTTGAAACCAAACTTGTCAAGATATAAAGCACAACCTTTGCATCGTCTTTAACTCGTGTATCTCTAACAGGAGCCGGCTCACTCAAACAAGCTGTTGCACGTGTTGCACCACTGACCACGCCGTCGTTGTCGTTTTTAACATGGAATTTTCAGCGTGAAAAGTTACCTCTATGGAATTTTGTCGTTGACTAACGCAAAATCTTCCACTATTTAATGACTTAACTACAAGCTTTTAATGGCATTTGCCAATATGTTATAATTTTATCAGGTGCCATTCGCAACCATAACACAATTAAAATAAAATAAAACGGTCTTTTCTACAAGAAATATCTTATCCGTAGCCAAAACCATATGCGATTCCTGGGCCCTGTTAGAGGTTCCGGAGGATTTTTAATAATGACTGCTGGATAACTTTGTTATATTTAAAAGTCTTTATTCTTATTTGAAGACATTTTGAACATTTAAAACTAGGCACTCACCAAAACAACATAAAACTCTACTGAACGTCACAGATAAAACAAATAGAAAATGTAGAGAAATTTGTCATAGATAAAAATTATAAAAACTCTATAGTTTGTACCATGGAAGTAACGCGAAGAACAAAAAGAAACAAAGTCCTGTGAATCTGGCGCCCGATATATGTAACCTTCTGATTTAAACGTTACAAATGAATTTTGCGTCATTTGCGGGTTCAGAATATGTATCATTATTGTGCGTGCGTCATTTCTGTTAAAAAAAGGAAAATTGCTTCCGGTACAGATGGACATTAAATGTCAATTTATTCAAGAACTACTGAAGACATGATAATTTAATTGACTTCAATTTATTACGTGTCATTTGTGCTTAATGACTAATCTAATGTGATAAACAGAATTTATCTATATATTATTTATTAGTAATAATTACATATAATACATAGACAAATATGTACTACAATTTTTTTTCATTGATATTAGTAATATGCTTGCGCCTATTGAACTAGACCCTAGACTAGGTAAATAGATGTAAAACTCTCGAGATTTGGACGATAGTAGTGACATCTAAGTTTACCCCACATTAGTAGACGATATTTGGAATATATATATAAATGGTATTGGCAAGGAAAACTTCGAATTTCACTGCCATCTATACATCAAACTATGAAGCGTAACCAAAGGCGCGCATTTCAAAATTACACCAAATTTTATTTTTTTTTGTTTTAAATGGAAATTGAAAAAAAAAACAAAAATAAAATTAACAAATTTAATAACAAAGTATAAATGCAGTAATAAATATAATTAGCACAATATACGAGTAAATAGCAAACATCAATTAATTAAAACATAGATAATAATACAGGTATATTTGTATGAACAAAGAAATTGTTCTTTACCTAATTTAGTACTGCTTCCTGCTTCTACAGGGGGTGCTAACGATTCAGAAACTGCAGAAATACTAGCTTCTGTATTGTCCATTGTGAGTGTACTTTCTATAACAAATAATTATATATGTTTTGGATATTTGAAACTGTTATCTGCATAACTACCTGCAGTTGAAACAATTCTTCTTTTCCCGTCATATGTTTTCACTGGATGCAGTACTTTTTCATCTTTTAATGGGGCAATTCCGTCTGCTTCTATTCCTCTACCAGAAGAAGTTCTACAAAACATTTTTTTTAGAACTTAAGTTTCACAACAACAAATTACAATACCTGCCACTTTCGTTGGAACCGCTGTTACTTCAGGAAAATGGAAAGCGGCATCTTGACCTTTAACTCCTGCAGGAACTGTATAATCTAGGTAGAACATTTCAAATTAATTTGACCCCGTAATAGTGTAGACTGTACATCACGGTTTTTCTGTGTTGGGCAGAAAACATCCTTTCTTTACTTATTGTAAAGCATGATTGAAGTACTTAATATATTACTTACTTTCAGGATAGGTAAAAGTACTTTTCACAAAAATTTTAAAATATTACAAGTTGTGAAACTACTCACTATTGCTCAATAACGCCACAACTACTGGGGAATTCCTCCGATAATCGCAACCGCCGTCGCATCATCTGTTGTCGTTTCAGTAAAATGTATGTCGCCTAGTATGTCGGTAATGTCGATTTTGGTAATTTAAAAAATTTAGAAACTTACGTGGGGTAAACTTAGGTGTCGCTCGCGCTCGACATTTCATACCCTGAACTAGACTACAGATACTGGAACGCGCTCGCTATGTTAAATTTGTGAGGGCAAGTGTGTGAATAGCTCCGCTGCTGCGGAGTGGCATACTATCTCTCCTTCACACACAGGCGCTTATGAGTCAATAACGGTAGTCAGGTGAAAAAGAGGCAGGTGTGCGATACCCGTGTATGATTTTACATTGCCGTGCGGTATCTTTATCACAGAAATTATTAACAAATTATTGGCGTATTTTAAAATTTGTTAAAAAGCAATAAATTCCTTAGAAATAATTTTTATTGTGAACTAGTACAAACAAAACAATACAATTAATCCGAAAAAGTTCTAATTTTAATTAACTAAATTATTCTAATTAAATTAAAGTATTGTAATTAAGTTAATAAAATATTTTAATAAATTAAAAATGATAAAATAATATTTTTTTATGTGAGNGCTTATGAGTCAATATCGGAAGTCAGGTGAAAATGAGGCAGGTGTGCGATACCCGTGTATGATTTTACATTGCCGTGCGGTATCTTTATCGCAGAAATTATTAACAAATTATTGGCGTATTTTAAAATTTGTTAAAAAGCAATAAATTCATTAGAAATAATTTTTATTGTGACCTAGTACAAACAAAACAATACAATTAATCCAAAAAAGTTCTAATATTAATTAACTAAATTATTCTAATTAAATTAAAGTATTCTAATTAAGTTAATAAAATATTTTAATAAATTAACATTATTAAATGAGCTTGCATACGACGAATTAGGTCGACGACGAATTAGGTCGTATGCAAGTTCAGCGATGGTGCTAACCAAAATTTTGTCGAATATTTCGAGGGGAAGGGTGGCAACTAATACATATACATCTCCAAACCTATACATTTATAGCACCTGCACCTTCTACAAATTGGAGCAGTCTGTACCTATTTGTAAATTTATGTTAAAAACAACTGCTCAATGAACATCACTTTTTAAGTGAATGAAACTTAAACTGTAGAGGCGAACTCAGAAACAACAGACTAGACGTGACTATGACGTATGATAAATGACTATGAATTTGTTGAGGTTATATACCTATAAAATACTTATTTGCACCGAAAAAAACATTAAAACAGCTTTCCTTCGACGTTTTCTTATGAGTTTCTTATAAATACACCTTCTTTAACTAAAACCCGTACTACACGAGTTGAATTATTAATGAAAATTGAGGTGGCGGTAGTGAAACAGCGTTAAAAAGGCCCTTCCCCGGATTATTTCATGTAAGTTTTTCATAATTAGGCCATTTTACGTCATTTCCAGCAAAAAAAAGTTGCATTTTCGAAAAAACCGTCATAGTAGTTCAATCTTCAGGCACAAATGACAGGCAATCAATTGGCGCCATTTAAATTATCATATGTTCAGTAGTTTTTGAATAAATTAACATTTAATTTCCATCTGCACCCTAAACAATTTTCAGTAGTTTAGGTTAGGTTAAGTTGCGTTCAAAAACGAGTGTTTCTGTAGCTACCGCAAGAGAGTATATTCGACAATTATCGACTCTATTCAACAATAATCGATAACGTCATCTATCCCTGTCGTTCTGTTTTATTCAAATTCAAAATTCATACGACTAAAATTTTTTTGTATATTATATGTAAAATGAATCCCAAAAAATCAAATCATGCAAAATAAAGTATTTTCATACTTCACGAGGGTTTGGTACACGCGCTGTTTCACATAACCCCATACAAATAATTCAATAAACTCAGGCAATAGTATTGCAATGTAAGGGGGTGTACTATCATGTTGAAAAAACATGTACGTCCACGTAGTTTTCTACAGTACATATGTACATTCGGTCAAGTCTCTTCTAAAATTCCCCATCCACATTGAAAACGCGCGTTATTGAAATCGCAATAGCTGTACGACATGCGGATTAGCGTTACACTCATAGCAAAAAATCGAAAATTCCGTCTTGCGTGAAGCAACATTCGTTATAAGCAAAACAATACAAGACGAAATCCGCTCGCAGCTTGCACTCGCTGCAAATGATAATGATGCAACAAATGCTCTTTTAAAATTCGCCACACTCATATAAAAAAGTCAACGTTCCCTGGTATTTAACTGTGCTACTTTGAGTGTTGTGTTCTATGAACTCAAAAATTTCGAAATCTACAGCAATGTCGACTTCCACGGCCCTTAAATTTAGGGTGTACATTGCTGGTTTCTCGCAATCTCTGTATCATGTAAGATGGTTCACATATTTAGAAGTCTTCGCTAAGGATATCAATCGCCGTACAACCAGATTGTTACATTAACATTATGTTCACATTCATTAGAATCATACAGCACAGCAGCACAGCTGAATCTGAGAGGAAGAGGGAAAAACATCCACCCCTGCTATACATACTTTGATTGTTACGTGGCGAAAAATGATAGAGAAAATATGATGATTTGAATAATTATATTAACAAAACAAAAAGAAATTCACAAATGTAATATACATTGCAAGAACAAAACCGAAAAGTTCAACTATCTCGTCAATAAAATAAAGTATTTAATTATTAAAGAAAAAAGCAAACTTGTACAAGCAAATATGTAATCAAAAACTAATAAACTTAATTGCAAAATAGAAAATAAATACAATACGAAAACACAACCAAACATTCCAACTTCATATTTAAAAAACGAAAAAAAAACAAATAATAAGAAAGTACAAAAAATGTTTGAAAGATAAAAAAAGATTGTACTTATAACCTCTTTTTATTTATACCAATTATTTTTTATATACTGTAATATTTGATTTATGCCTTCCTTTCCAGCTGTACCACATAAATAATTCATTTGTAAAACAATGTCATCTGTTTCTTTTATTAAACTAATAATACCCCTTACTAAAATATCTCTCTTATCAGTTCGTGTCTTCTTATATCCACATGGACCATCGTCATTTTCATATTTTCGTTTCTTTGGTGATGATACGCTTATATTACTTATCAAATCCGCCGCATGTTTAACATTCCATTGACTGTCATCACCAGATAATTCTTCGGTTGAATCACCATCTGGTAAATTGCTTTCATTAAACATATTAACGTCATACTGGTCCAAATTGTTAAATAAATCATTCACGGAATTGGTGTTGGAATCAGAAATGTCAAGTTTAATTGGTGAGGAGTCCTTAGCACTACTTTGAAAATTTTCGTCACCGTTTGTTGCAACAGAACTATTAATATCAGATCCTGACTCGTTAATTGTAGTATCGTTTGCAGAATCACCTTTATTCATAAAACATAACATTTTGGTCACTTGCTCCTGATGACGACGTTTCTTTCGCTGATGTGACCAAGTGTTGTTAAAAGCATTAAAACATAAGGAACGTTTTGCTTTACCCATTACCATATAATCTGTACTTATCTAAAATTGAAGAAAAAATATTTAATTTTTTTATTTAATATATGATTTCTGATACTAATAGTCACACAGTTACTTAATACAAATGGAAACTCATCAACAAGTTCGTGAAAGAATTTGCTATAGTTTTTAAGGAGAAACTACACCTAAGTAAGATATAAGGTATAAAGCCTATGTACATAGTAATAGAGAATGAATTAGTAAAAAGGAGACTACAAAGATATCTAACAGATTATTATGCTCTTGTACGACTTCTTTTAAGAGAAACAAGTTAAAGACAAATTAGAGTATTGAACATTTAAGGAGGAAGCACTTAGTTGTGGTGTGAATGGGTTGTAAAAAGGAGACTTCCCTTTACACACCAATCTCAATTGTTCTCTCATTGTGTAATTACTTACGTTATTAAAGTACCACAGACACCATTCAATTAAGCGTTGTTATTTGTAATAATTTATTTGTGATTTTTGTAATTGCCGTATTTTATGTAAAATAACAATTTTTGAAATAACAATTTTAAAATACAATGTGTACTCATATTTAATTAGTTAATTATCACAGTTCAAAGAATGAATAGAAGTAACTTTTTAAAAAATCAAGTGACTATAAGTCCTCTTTACATAAGATTATGCATATTTAAACACTCAAAGTTAGTGCTTTAAATTACAGAATTCAAAAACTTGTAGAAGCCAATTTTTATATGTAAGTAATTAACTTCATTTGGTTGAAAACGTACCTGTAGCTCCTCAAACATAGCTACCACTTTATCCCAGAATTGTTCGTAATCAATTTCAGAATATTTAAACTTAAGTTCTAAAGGCTTATTCTGTTTTCTAGAACAGGCAACCGTCTCTTCTGGCACTTTTCTTAAGTCGATATCACAAAATGTCCATGCCAAGCCCCAACGTGTTGTATTTCCTTGACAAAATTGAGTGTCTTTAAAACTTTTCACTTCTGCATTTCTCAGTGTGAACTTTAGAGGTGGTAGACTTGACTTATGACCCAACATTGTAGTGTAAACCCTATAGATGTAATGCAAAAAAATATTTTAAGACATGACTTTTACTTAACCGATTTATACATTCTGTATGTTTAGAAAAACATTATAAAGCAATTACCTAATTTTGGTTTGAAGTTTCTTGCTTTCCTTAATAATTTTTTGGACAAATTTTACTTCACCGCCATCATGAACTGCTTCAGTAGAAGTGGCACAAAAGGCATTCTTTGGACGAGGTCTGTCAGGGCGCCTGGCTTTAAAGTTGGGTTGAAGTTCATGCACATTGGAAAAGAACGGGGGATTACACATACAAAAATCAAACTGTACATCAACAGGCTGACCCTCAAGAGCTTCTTGGAGCATGGTGTCACCTTTTACTTTTTTTACTGTAATATTACATTGCTCAATTTAAGAAAATAAATGCACACTTGTATTTAAACGAGAACAATACTTGTTATTAGATGTTGAAGGTTATTATTCTTCACATTATTTTGTGCATAGAAAATGCTCTCTTCATTAATGTCAGTTCCAATCATGTACCATCCTCTACTCTTTGCACCAAGTAAACAATATACACAAGATGCACCTGTTCCAATGTCTATTCCTCTAATTTCTTTCTTCTTGCCAGATATACTTAGTAAATCTTCCACCCACAATATGTAATTTAATCTTAAAGGAACTGTTGGTATCATTTTGTTTAAAGGTATTTCAATATTCAAATTAAAATCTTTTTTTAATAATGTGCACGTGAGTGCTCGTAAAGCTTCCAGGTCTTTGAAATTTAAACTTACTTTTCCAGAAACATCCTAAAACCGTTAAAAATTTATATTAATTTGTTTATTTTATAATGGTAGAATAATTATCTTTGTTATAATGTTTGTAAGTTATAAGGTAAAACTTGCCTGGGTAATATACTTTCTGAATTCTGGAAACTCAATTGCCAACTGCTTAAAAGAAGGAGGAGTACGATATATATTTCTGGGATGCATATACTTCTGCACAGACATTTCAACTAATAAAACACTTCCAAGCAGTAGAAATATTGACAATAATTGTTTTTAATTCAGCTTTAAAATGTATAACTAAAGTTCACTTGACGGATAAAATAAAGGTTATGTTGTTGTTACTATTATCTATAGTTACTATTATGTATGTATTTGTTTAGAGATAAAACATAGATGATGTAAATAGTAGGTTAAATGACCATCGACGTTTACTAATGGACATGTGTCAGGATTTAATTAATGTATTCTATTGTATAATTCGAATTTAAATATAAGTGTATATACAAGCGACAGAGGGTGCTTGATTACCGATAGTCGTTTTTCTTATCTTAACCTTCCTGTAGCCGGTGAAAGAAGAAAAACCGTTACTTTACTAAGTTGCTGCAAGTATTGTAAAATAAATTAAGCTGTTTGTCTAGAAAGAAAGATAACATTTTATTTACAAGTGTACTGATTACTTTTAAATACTGTATTTTTGACGCCTGTATTTTATTTGCGTTGCAGGCGCCTTTACATTAAGTTTTGTAACCACATTCTTCTTATATTAAACATTTATATAGAGAAGAATACTGTTTTTATTAGTTGGACCTCGTGTTTATCATTTCACTAGCTTCTGAAGAAGAAATTATAACAACATACCTTAGCGGTCAAAATTATGGTACATTAAAAGAAAGAGATGGAACGAAGTTTCGGACAATATCCATCTCTCACGATAGTGCGTAAGCGTGTCATGCGAAAAATATATACAAAATGGAAATCGATTCAGGAGCAGACAAAAGCCTGATAACTTATTCTGATTTTAAAAAATTGTTACCTGAACGGCCTATACGTGTTAGAATAAGCAGAGGTACAAATTGGCATTGATAATGAAAATAAACACTCATCGCAAATAATTGTGCGTCAAACGAACAGTCCATTATTAGGCAGAGATGGAAAGCACACTTAAACACAGTAAACCACATCGATGCTACCACCGTTATTGTACAAGTCTCTTCCAACAAGCCCATTACAGGTGCGAGAGCCCAAATAGTGCTCAAGGATAATGTGGCGCCAATCTTCCATAAAGTATACAACTTGCAATTTGGGCAACATGAAATCGACGAGTCAATACTAATTAATCTGGAATAACAACAGAAAATATATAGTCACCTATTCCGATCACGCTTCACCATGCCGTTTGGTTAAGAAAAAGAATAATTTCGGAACGAGATTATTTGTCGATTTTAAACAAACACTAAACAAAGTAATCAAAGTAGACTTTTGTCAATTGCCAAAACAATGGTGAATATCTTCACCCATTTAAATGGTGGAAAAGTATTTACAGTACTGGATTTATCAGACGCATACATCGAATTGGAATTGGATACAAGGTCGCAGATTTAAACGAATAATACACGGTCTTGCAGGTGCATCGGAAATTTTTCAAAAAACAATGAATTATATATTAAATAGCATCCCTCATGTTTTTTGTTATATTGATTACATCCTTATCAAGTGCATTAAAACAGCTGAGAAAGTGCTCGACAGATTAAATAAATTTGGAGTTCAAATTCGTGAAGAGCAAACCTACCAGAAAGTCATAAGAAAAATAGTTGCAGACACGAACAATTCATCAATACCAACTCCACAATTAGAAAGGAACACGTTGTTTGCAAAAATTACAGCTGTCCTTTAGTTTAAGAGCCACGGGATAGAGAAGCGCCACCTGTATATATAAGAAGCTTAGGTCAGTATGAGTCCAACTTACCACTCAAAAGTTATGGGTAAATGAACAGTGAGGTGGATTCTACATTTGGAACGCAATTCGAACTGTCGTGGCTGCTAAAGCAGCAGACAGAGCTGCGCGCGGTGACGGCATCGTTTGGTTAGGTAGATTTATGATAGACTAGAGTTTCATTAACGCCCCTGCCCGCCGGAGGCGGACTGATAGGAGCAATATATGAAATAGGAAAGAATACGGCAAGCCGTGCAGATTGATGACACTAAAGTCGGGAAGCGAAAATACAATAGAGGACGCTGGGTACAGGGCAGTTGGATCTTGCTATCGCCTAGAAATATGTCCGGGTAATAAGCGCGATCAGGCCACCCTGTATCCATTGATAACAAAACACGTAGCTCCAAAGTCTGAAATCCATATAGACAGTTGGCCAGCATACCTCGCATTGGACCAGGTCCCTAATATGCACTATAAGCACAAGCGAGTGAATCACAGTCAACAAGACCCAGGTCGCTTCGTTAATCCCGATACTGGTGCTCACACTCAGAAAATCGAGTCTAGTTGGAGGCACTTTAAGCACGAATTGACTGGCAGAGGCTTGAAAGGAGACGACGACGGCGATGCATATGTGCGAATACCTGTGGCGCAGAGAGGTGAGACTTAAGGGACAGAACCCATTCATCTAACTTGTGCAAGACATTAAGAAGATATTCTCCATTGACATCAAACATAACTGAAAAGTGAGTGTTGTGAAGAAAGTGACCGTGATAGGACTCCTGTGGATCAGACCTCGCCGTGGATTAGAGAGTCTGATCCACTTTTTGTTAGGTTAAGTTAGTTCCGAAGCCGGCACAGCACGCGCGCAGCTCTGTCTGCTGCTTTAGCAGCCACGACAGTTCGAATTGCGTTCCAAATGTAGAATCCTACTCACTGATCAATTACTCATAACTTTTGTATGGTAAGTTTGTGGCAGCGGATATACCTATCGTTGGACTCGTACTGACCTAAGCTTCTCATATATATAAGTGGCGCTTCTTTATCCCGTTAAACTATAGGACTTCCAAAATTACAACTTTCCTGAGCAACTGCAGGAATACGCCGTCTACTGCCACTACTAAATCTTCAAATGAGTTTTTACTATCATTTGATCCCACAACACTGCTCTCATTAATTTTACCAAAACAACCCACAGCAAAGTATCAAGATTATTTAGGGAAGGTGATAAAATGAATATACGTTTTGGAAAAGCACCTTTAATTGCAGGTACAGTGATAAAAAATTAAGTGCTACACGATATTTAGTGTCTATACAAGGAGTTTTAAAACAGCCGCGTGTAAACCAAATGTCGCATGCTATTTGGTTTAAGTTAACTAAACAAAAAATATATAATTAACGTTTACTTGACGGATAAAATAAAAGTTATGTTGTTGCTGTTAGTGTTGTAAGCATACGTATTAAAATATTCGTTGAATTTGAGTATTTTGTTTGATAATACGTATTCGAAATAATCTAGTTTATTAGGCATGCCTATAAATTCCGACGGGTTCGAACGTAGCCTTTTCAGTCGTCAGTATTGGTGCGCGCACGCAGCTGCATAATAATGTTACCACAAATTACGTAATAGTACGTAGCAAAGTAGCATTCAATTCGATTGCCGAGACGAACCGGACCGTTCCGTTTCCCTTTCCTTATAACATAGCGTCACACTGGAAAGACGATATAGCCTACGATGTGTAGGGTTGGATAAGCACAGAATAGTTAAAGCAGCAAAAGAACAATTACGCATGTGGCCGATAAACTGGTCCCTTGCAACTGATTTAAATGGTCTGTTGGGCTCGGATTACCCATTGCTGGGATTTGGTGTTAGTAGGATTACAGGATTAGGCTAATCCGACTAATCTCGACATGAGAAATCGATACTTTGAGGTCGATCAGACTTTTACTTCAGGTTTTACAGGAAGTTAAATTTTTTACTTTTTTGCGATTTTTATATATAAAAAATGAAACGATTTTTTAGTTTTATAAAATCTTAATAATAAACAAATAAGTCCAATACAATGATTAGTCAGTGCGATCAACTCTTATGCTCAGACGACCAAGTTCGTGAGATGCGCAAGGCTGCACCTTCCGTTTCGGGCGTCCACCACCATTGTCAAGTTCCTCCTCTTCCTCATCCACGTCCTGGTCCTCTACCGTCTGAAATTCTTCTGCAGAGTACTCGTACATGAAACCCCCTCCTCCTTCAAGCGGGATATCTCCAGTTTCCGCAATGCCAGTCCTAGTTGATAGTAGTTGGGATCCAGAGTTTCAGAGAACATGCTTATTTCTATACGGTTTAGGAGGGTAAACATCTTGTCGATCCAGGCTTTGGATCATACTTCGGCCATCAGTTCAGTTCTTTCCCTGTTCTCTGCTTCCATTGCTGAGTCCAAATCTTTCTGATAGAAAGAAGACACGATATGGCGCATCGATGGACCATTGTTGATTCCGTTGAAGGATTTTGCGATGATTGCCAGAGTTGATTGCATGATTTGTAATACCAGCCATTCAAATGCCAAAAGAGATGCTTTGCGATGTATTGTCGGAGATGGATGATGTTTAGATATGATTTCATCATTGTTTTGAATAGTCTAAAAAGTCCTTCAACTACATTAGTGCACACCTCATCATCTGCTTTGAATTCCCTCTTGTGTATGACCACCTTATGCTCCAGAAATTGGAAATGTTGAAATGCAGCCATATACACTGGTGCTCCATCAGTTATGAGCTGTGGGTTGTGTTGAGATTATCGAAAGGAAGGAGGGACGATGTGGTTGAAGAGAAAGATAACTTTCAATATATATAAGTATGCTTTATTAGATTTGTGTTAACAAAGGAACTTCTTATTGCACGCGTCTCGTGGGCAACGGTTACGAACCAACTTACTAAAAATTCCCAGTTACGCAAGTAGTGCGCTCCGGCAACTTAATACTGAGTTTTGCTCACGCATGCGCAGTGAGCCTATGGAAGTGCGATAACTTTACTTCTCAACAAGTTGTTGTCGCAATAAGCTCGAATAATATCAAATACCTCCTGTCGACGGCGTTGGTGGATCACCACTGCGATGTCAATTTTATCTTCAAGACACCAAACCAAAAACAGCCACAATTTACACAATTCAAGACTGGAGGGCGTCTATTAGCTCCGGCGAGCATTGTCTTGACGCCTGTTAATATTTCGCGTAGATAAGAATACGAATTACCTAAATGCCTC